AATATTACTGAATACCAATACAAAGAAAGGATTTTTAGAAATCTTGGCCAACTGAAAAGTATGAACATGAAAAGTATGAGCATGTACAGCACTCAATACTTAGTTGGGGCCCCTTTTGCCTGAATTACTGCAGCAATGCGGCGTGGCATGGAGTCGATCAGTCTGTGGCACTGCTCAGGTGTTACGAGAGCCCAGGTTGCTCTGATAGTGGCCTTCAGCTCTTCTGCATTGTTGGGTCTAGCATATCACATCTTCCTCTTCACAATACCACATAGAAAATCTATGGGGTTAAGGTCAGGCGAGTTTGCTGGCCAATTAAGAACAGGGATACCATGGTCCTTAAACCAGGTACTGGTAGCTTTGGCACTGTGTGCAGGTGCCAAGTCCTGTTGGAAAATGAAATCTGCATCTCCATAAAGTTGGTCAGCAGCAGGAAGCATGAAGTGCTCTAAAACTTCCTGGTATACGGCTGCATTGACCTTGGACCTCAGAAAACACAGTGGACCAACACCAGCAGATGACATGGCACCCCAAACCATCACTGACTGTGGAAACTTTACACTGGACCTCAAGCAACGTGGATTCTGTGCCTCTCCTCTCTTCCTCCAGACTCTGGGACCCTGATTTCCAAAGGAAATGCAAAATTTACTTTCATCAGAGAACATGACTTTGGACCACTCAGCAGCAGTCCAGTCCTTTTTGTCTTTAGCCCAGGCGAGACGCTTCTGACGCTGTCTGTTGTTCAAGAGTGGCTTGACACAAGGAATGCGACAGCTGAAACCCATGTCTTTCACATGTCTGTGCGTAGTGGTTATTCTTGCCTGTGACTTTTTGAATAAACCAGCACGGATATATTTTTTATATACTCAAGTGGTCTGAGTCGTCCCTCTGAGTTCCTGGTTTGAAAGAACCGGATGAGGCTTTATAATGGTTTTTAGCCTTTAACGTGTAATGTGAATTTTACCTGTGATCCTCTGAATAAACCAGCACGGTTATTTTTTATAAAATCTAAAGCAGTCTACTTCGTCTCATTGAGAGTTCCTGGTTTGAAAGAACCAGAAGAAGCTACAGAGAAATAATAGCTTATACAGGAGAGAGGCTGTACAGCTGTGACCAGTGTGGGAAGTCGTTCATTCAAAGGAAAAACTTAAAACAACATGTGTGCATTTAAATGAAAAGATAAAGTATAAAGCTGTGTCAGAAAACCCATCAACGCATTCCACTGCACATCTTAGAGCTCTGAACAGAACCAGCTCACGTTTCCTGCATTTCTGTCTTTATACTAAAAGGCCACTGATGTGTCTGTAGCCGTTAGCCTTCTAAACACTTCTGTAAAAACACATGTCCAGAATAATTTTGTGTTTAAAAACCATCTTTGGCCTCATATGAACTTTAACATCTTGTTTCTTATCGGTCATCATAAACCCTGATACCAGTTTATCTGCAGTTAGCTTAAATGGGCCAATGTCTCTGTAGGACTTGAGTATGAGTGTGACGTGATCAGCGGTGAGCTCTGTAACTGTTGCAGTTAAACCAAGGGAAGAAGTGTGTCACTGGTTGTAGGCTAAGTGTGTACCGTTACCTGTTTTAGCTTTGTGTCTGGGTGGGCTCTCTTTGTGTCTACACCCTCAACATTTTCCTGTTCACAGGAAGAGAGGGTGAAACCAGGTGCTGGGTGAAAACTGCTGAATATTCCTTCTCTCTGACAAGGTTACAAAGTCTATGTAGATGGTTTCTACACCAGTCTGACTCTGGTCCCGGACCTCCTCCTGAGAGAAGACTGTGGCACTATATGTACCAACACATGTCGTTTTCCCAAAACTACGTTAACATGACTCACCACAGGCAGCAGAAAGTGGAACAGTATGGTGGATATGAACAGGAGAGCTGCTCTTCATGACATGGGTCCATACACCTGGGGTAACTGTGTGTCCACCAGTTCATGCACGTTCCACTAATGACATTATCATGTGGACCATGCGACCTGCTGCAGCACAGAGCAAGAAACACTGCTTCACTACAGCAAGGAGCTGCTGTGGTGTCTGGCACTGAAGAAACAGTGTGTGTGTGTCTAGGAAAGGCTGTGACCACCGGTGTATTGTGATCCGGTCTCATGTGGCCTATTCCAAACTCTGGCATCTGTTTAGCAGGATTTCTTGTGTCTTTACTGACTGACTGAACCATGGTTTAACATTGGTTCAGTCAGGAACAAACCATACATTTTCTGGTTCTACCAGATCAGATGTGAAGATTTGGTGCTTCTTGTTTTTCTTTACTTTCACTAGCTTGATGTTTTGAACTGTTGGACAATACAACCTTAAATTGACACTTTGGAAAATTGTATTTGTTGTTCATTGTTATATTAGTAACAGTACTGTTTGTGGTGTATTCAATAAATCTGTAAAATTGAGTTCTCTGCTCCTGCTTTCCCTAGTAAGAACGAGTCTCAGCATAACTTTTATTTAATAAGTTGATAGAATAAATGACAAAGAAACGTTGATTTAGCTGACCTGTGGTGTTTCTGAACGTGTTTATAGATACAACAGATATCATTTTTCGCTCCAACAGGTTGAGTCCTGCCTGTCTTTGGTTGAGCGGGGCTCTGCTGCCCCCTGCTGGGGGTTGGCCGCTGCTGCTCTCTGGGTTCATCTTGGAGTCACTTTGTCTCAGACTAAACATTGCAGCATTGATAATGGCTGGTGGCCTGCTGCATTCTGCAGGTGCACATTTAAATAACAACAGATGGTTGTCCAGAGAGTCAGTTTCCTTAAACGTTTAAATAATTTAGAGTTAGACTGATAAAGTTCCTGACACCAGTGGGACCGCCCCCCCCGCTCTTCAGCACAACTATCAGTCGTTTTCGTTGCTCTTGGGGTTTCTGATTGGTTGTTGTCCCATCATTCACCTGCGACTTGTGGGCTAGAACAAGTTCACTCCAGTTCACAAGCGTTCAAGAAAATCAAGGATTCTTGCTTCTCACGCAAGGAGGGAGTGGAAGCGATATGTCACGTAATGAAGGTTTTTTACGCTCTCACTGGGTGCGATGGTTTTAATGTCAACACCCAGCTGACCTGTAAAAGTTGGGATAAATTAGCAGATGGTGTAGAAAAGTTGTATTTCTCCTGCTCCGGGTCCTTCATTTTGGTCTATTTATACATCCTGTCACTCCACAAGAAAAAAAATCGCCCAGTTGCTTAAAACAGATAGAAAGATAGCTTTATACAAAAATACCTACTTCATTAATCCCCAAGCCAAGAAATCCAGTACTATACTGTTCAGTACAAAATACAACATGTGAAAACTTAACAAATAAAGTAATTAAAAAAAACAGCAGCCAAGTCAATAATGCCTAATAGCAGGCTAAATACAAAATAATAAGCAATGATGACTCATAACAACCTGATTAATCACTAAATAATAATGACAAGCATCTGTAAACATTTTAGAAAATGTAATTTTGCAAGGTGTTTCTGTCATTTAGCCTGTAGCCTCACTGATATGAAAGAGTGATGAGAGAAGGTAAATAGCCTAACACTTGCTGGTGTGTATGGTCCACTGTCTAATGCTGTAGATCTGATCTCTGACGTGACTGTGTAAAGGTGAATGTAGTGGTTATAGTTCTCTGATATTCTCTCTAGTTGATCTGTTTTCTCTAGTTCAGTGAAGCTTATCTCCAGGCAAATCAAAGGTACAAAGGTATCAAATGCAAAACAAATATCTAGAAGCTCTAAATCTTTCCTTCAGAAAACTGCTGCAACATTTGTCTCAAATGTTTGTGTCTAAATCCAAGTCAAGTTGAAGTTTTAGATCTGAATTACCTATTTGAATAGAGGAACCTGTAGAAAGAAATTCTTGATAAAATGATATAGTGCTATGTTATGTATTGGCAAAACTGTTCAAATAATTGTTTAATCTGTTTGACCTTTGTAAAGATTTGACCTGTGGACATGGAATGCTGTGAGTAGGTGCAGAGAGACTCAGAACAACAGGAAGTCGTGCAGATACATACTGAGATGACTAAACTGTCTGCACGAGAATAGTGTGTGGGTGTAAGGTCTGATTGTCTTGGCTTCAGATTATCAACATTTATCAACATATGAAATTCTAGGATTGACATAATCTGCATTAGCAAATATATTTACATGTTTATTTTAGTATCATATGTATTATAATAGTATCATATGCCTTATAATCTACTTTTGTTTTAACTAGTTCACTTGTCTTTAAGAATATAGGAGACATGTGTAAGGCTGTAAGAGTAGACAGGAAACCACATACAGGAAGTAGACCACATAGCAACGCTCGAGGTGCATCCTCTAAAACTGTCTATTGAAAGGTCAGGATATGTTGTACTGAGAATGTCACAGATCAAAATCTGTCTGGTGACAAGATCACCAAATGAGGGGTCAGAACGAGGTCAAGAAACCAACCAAGGAACGAGGATGAAGGACAACGCGGATGACGTCAGATCATTTGCATGACTCTTATTATAAATTCTCAATGCAGAGGAAACTCGTGGTTCCGGCTTCCTGCAGCAGCTGTGCACTATACTTCTGTGTAATAGGGCTTCAGATAGAGACGGAACCCAGAGCTCTGTATTGCTTGTCTTGAATATTTTGCCTTAAATATTGATTGTAATAAATATCTCAAAAGACAGATTTGTCTTTGAGTATTCTTCATAAAAAGGACACGCAGGACTGGTTTAGTCCAACAAACCTCTTTTGAATATTAACCACACACATATTATAACTGAATCTGAGAACTAGGAATTAAATATATCCTGAAATTAAAGTTTTGGTCTGGATGTGGCTTATTTTTGCCACATTCTGACCACATACATTGAGAGTGTTTTCAAAGTCAGTACAATAAATGGTATTTAAATGATAAAACATAAACGGCACCTCAGGTAACGAAACACAACAAAGATATGGTCCGTGTCCTCAGTAGTAGTCACATGTGGGTGGTTCCTACACGGCAGGGTTTTTGTCCGTGTAAACCAAGGCAGCGTGAGAGGTCTCCTCACACATCTTTAGCAAGGAACAGTTTTGTATTCAATTTGCGTATTAATTCTCATAAAGCCAAGACTTACCCCAGAAAATAACTATTGTCACGTTGCTGTGTAACTGTTATCATAAAGTTACTAACATAGCTATCAGTGTGAAATCTGGGGGGGAAAGTGAAATTATCTGTTAATTAGCTGTGGTAGCTTCTTGGTAGCCTTAGCTGGTTTTAGCTAACGCTAAGTGGAAATTGCACAGATTGTTTCTTCTCGTGATTAAAGGGGATTAAAAAGGTGAGTGAGCCAGATTTAAGGTCTGGAATAACAACTGTTTGCATTATATATTGCACTTTATGTTTTTAAAATGCCCCTAAAGTGTCAAACATAATATTCATAGTTCAAAGCCATGGCTAAAATGCGTGTCAGGGCTTGAGATCTGCATCACCTCGGACGCCATTTTTTTTTTTTATACTTAGAGGTCATGATAAATGATGTAGATGATGATTTGTAGATTTGACAAATCCACAAAAGTCAAACGTTTTTAAATATGAAAATCAAGTATTTCTAATTTAACCAAGTATCGTGCACCATAAATACATGTCTGGGGCTTGTAACAAATCAAAATTCTGGAAGATTGGTTGTATATGCAGCCAGTTGTGATGTGTTTGTTGCTATAGATCTACTGCCTTCACCAAAGTCATGGTACAGGGATTAGGAGGCTCCGCTTCCTTATACATTGAACCAGTACCTGTGGCATCTAGGTACACGCACATACAGGTGCTGGTCATAAAATTAGAATATCATCAAAAAGTTGATTTATTTCACTAATTCCATTCAAAAAGTGAAACTTGTATATCATATTCATTCATTACACACAGACTGATATATTTCAAATGTTTATTTCTTTTAATTGTGATGATTATAACTGACAACTAATGAAAACCCCAAATTCGGTATCTCAGAAAATTAGAATATTACTGAATACCAATACAAAGAAAGGATTTTTAGAAATCTTGGCCAACTGAAAAGTATGAACATGAAAAGTATGAGCATGTACAGCACTCAATACTTAGTTGGGGCCCCTTTTGCCTGAATTACTGCAGCAATGCGGCGTGGCATGGAGTCGATCAGTCTGTGGCACTGCTCAGGTGTTACGAGAGCCCAGGTTGCTCTGATAGTGGCCTTCAGCTCTTCTGCATTGTTGGGTCTGGCATATCGCATCTTCCTCTTCACAATACCCCATAGATTTTCTATGGGGTTAAGGTCAGGCGAGTTTGCTGGCCAATTAAGAACAGGGATACCATGGTCCTTAAACCAGGTACTGGTAGCTTTGGCACTGTGTGCAGGTGCCAAGTCCTGTTGGAAAATGAAATCTGCATCTCCATAAAGTTGGTCAGCAGCAGGAAGCATGAAGTGCTCTAAAACTTCCTGGTATACAGCTGCATTGACCTTGGACCTCAGAAAACACAGTGGACCAACACCAGCAGATGACATGGCACCCCAAACCATCACTGACTGTGGAAACTTTACACTGGACCTCAAGCAACGTGGATTCTGTGCCTCTCCTCTCTTCCTCCAGACTCTAGGACCCTGATTTCCAAAGGTAATGCAAAATTTACTTTCATCAGAGAACATGACTTTGGACCACTCAGCAGCAGTCCAGTCCTTTTTGTCTTTAGCCCAGGTGAGACGCTTCTGACGCTGTCTGTTGTTCAAGAGTGGCTTGACACAAGGAATGCGACAGCTGAAACCCATGTCTTTCTGTGCGTAGTGGTTCTGGAAGCACTGACTCCAGCTGCAGTCCACTCTTTGTGAATCTCCCCCACATTTTTGAATCGGTTTTGTTTCACAATCCTCTCCAGGGTGCGGTTATCCCTTTTGCTTGTACACTTTTTTCTACCACATCTTTTCCTTCCCTTCGCCTCTCTATTAATGTGCTTGGACACAGACCTCTGGAAACAGCCAGCCTCTTCTGCAATGACCTTTTGTGTCTTGCCCTCCTTGTGCAAGGTGTCAATGGTGGTCTTTTGGACAACTGTCAGGTCAGCAGTCTTCCCCATGATTGTGTAGCCTACAGAACTAGACAGAGAGACCATTTAAAGGCCTTTGCAGGTGTTTTGAGTCAAATAGCTGATTAGAGTGTGGCACCAGGTGTCTTCAATATTGAACCTTTTCACAATATTCTAATTTTCTGAGATACCGAATTTGGGATATTCATTGGTTGTCAGTTATAATCATCAAAATTAAAAGAAATAAACATTTGAAATATATCAGTCTGTGTGTAATGAATGAATATAATATACAAGTTTCACTTTTTGAATGGAATTAATGAAATAAATCAACTTTTTGATGATATTCTAATTTTATGACCAGCACCTGTACATATCTATGGCTCAAGGTGAATAAAACTGTGAGCCTAACTTCACTCAGTAGAAACTGAGAAACCCACGAGTTTTATTAATGTTATACTAACATTTATAAGCCTTAGGATTGATTAGACAGTGTATACATGCTATGTACATATTAATGTTTAACCAACATTTATAACTGTATTATATATTAATAGAAATGTTTTATTTAAACAGAGCACAGACAGTCTTTATGGAAACTTCTTCACCTTAAATTGCAATAAAAATTAAAGTTCACAACTGTATAAAACAGAAAAAGCTATTAATTCCCACATGTAAAAGGTTTAAACCTAAAGTTGTTTTAGGCTAATGATTTCAGCACTGAGACGTTTTAACCAGCTGACGATTGACTTGGTGATAAACAAATCGGTTAATCTGATGAGAAAGATCTTTTTCACATACAGTCTGAAACCAGTTATAAACCTTGATCCTAAAAATGGGTTATGTTCCTGTTTTGATAACCATTTGGTGTAAGCTGTGTTTGTGTGTGTGCAGCATGAGCGCAGGAGTCCAGCACTTGTTTTTCCTTGGCCTTCCAGACCTGGGGCAGCTGGTCTGTACCACCCTGACTCTGCAAGAGGAGGAGGATGAGCCAAGGAACAAACAGATCAAGGCCTGCAGGTGAGCGACACGGGGAGGGACATTTAACAGTACACATAAACCCATCATTGACTAAAGCGAGTACACAAAGCCCAGGGAGTCTCCCTAGATGTGGAAGGCAGGGCAGATGTGCAGAATGTTGTCAAGGGTTGATGAAGAGTTTATAGAGCTTCTTCACAGGACCAAGTGGAGAAGACAGGTTTAATAAGCACTGATGTGCGTTTGCCCAGTGCGAAGGACAAAACCAGCTTAAACACATAACCGCTGTGGCTGTGCGCTTGAGTAAACTGTGCATGTGTGTGTCCACAGAAAGCTGGTGCTGCTGTACAAGGATGTTTTGGCCTCTCCTGCTCAGGACTCTGTCACTGGCATCACAGTTGTCATGGCTGTAAGAAACTCTCTCACACACACAACGCACAACTTTTCATTAATATAACACTTTCACTGGCCCACACTGCACCATCACAACCTCATGTCTGACCCCAGTTATTCCTGTTGCCTTGGGCTGAGCGGGAGTATAAAATCCTTTGGCAACACTGTATCTTCCGTATAGGTTAATGTTTGATTTAATTAGAGGATACGAGTTTGTTCTAATGACAGCAGGGCTGCTTTATCATGGTGATCAACAAAGAGCTATTTCACTTATAGGCTACAGTATAAATGAATACTTGTAGTACTGACAGATATGACTTTGTTTAGTGTATAAGATTAGATGTGTACGTGTGTGTGTGTAGCTGTAATCTCAGGAAACTGCGGTGGGAGTACTGCACATGCACACACCCTGAGGCACACCCCCAGGAATGCACACATAGGTTTTCTCTTACACACACAGACACACACACCTCCTTCACTTGTGCAGCAGGTTGTCAGTGTGTTGTGAGTCTCTCTGGGTAACAGTGATCAGTCTGCTTCAGCGTTGCAGGTCTGTCAGATGACGGCTGACAGCCAGTAGCTGTTTGACTGACGGAGCCGCTGGAGAAAAGTGTTGCTGATGCTAGAGAGATGCTGTTAGGGCAGTGACTTACACCTTACACCTGCCGTGTACCGTGTAGGGCCAGTGTTTTTGCATTGTTTCAATCTACAGTCATAACTTAAAGAAACAAGTTAAAATTGCTTTGAGCTGCCCTGTGTGTTATTATCCTCTGTGTATCTCGCTGTGGTAACTGTGCAGAACACATCCAGGGTTCGTGCACTGTGCTGTGTGCACAGTCACCATCAGCCTCTTCGATGTTCATGTGTTGTGCTTTGTGTTTGCGTGCTGACACTTCCCATGCAGACACGCAACCAGAATAGGTGAATTCCTAGCATTCCCCTGTGCCTCTCCTTGACAAATACACATCCGTCTGTTTATATTTGTGAGGAAAGTTGTTGAAGTAATGCATTCCTGGTCCTTAATCCTAACCTAAACCTGGACCCTGAAGCCAAGTCTGAACCCTCAGACAAAATGTCCTCACAGTGATGGTACTGAGCTACAATCTGTCCACACAGACCAGAGGTGTGTTACCGTCAGCCCACATTATGTACCATGAACATAGTCTCTCTCATCCACCAACCAATGAATGAATTCAAAACAGAAAGTCAGCGGAAAACTCTTTCAAACCAGAAAATTATTTATTATGTGTTTTGTTCAATGACACAACTACTTGATGATGGTGAATGTGTTTTTAGGAAACAGCTTTGCCATTTAGCTCCACTGAAGTACTGAAGCTGGTCAGAAGGGTTGGTTTATGGGCAAAAGAAGGATATGACTTTGACACTGTAGGCAGGTGTTTTTGTCCCAGGTGTGGTTTAGTCATAGCAGAAACCTGTGTCTTCATCCTGATTTGTGTTTATAAGTTCTGTACTGTTCCTGCAGATCCCGTTTTTCCAGAAAGGAATCGTCCAGGCGTTTGGACAGAGACACTGTTTTCAGGTGGGATGAAGTGATGGACAGACAGCTATGTGTCTCAGCTAGGACGACTGTCCCGCTGTGTGCATTTCACAGCCGTTTCACACACGAGCCTTTGGCTCCATTTAATTAACCCTTCATACTATAACGCAGGTTTAATTGCGGATACTGTTAACACTTGATGAAAACTAGATTCTGTGTGTCTGTGCTTGTGTGTCTGTGGGTGTATAGGTAGGCTCGCCGCAGCGTGTGCTTCCAGGTGTCCTCCAGTATTGCTTGTCCTACTCTCTGATCAGCAGACTGGCTCCCAGCTGGAACAAAGTGGGACTCTACCTCATCTCCGGTACGTTCCTTCTCATCCCAACACGCTAACAAACACTATGTGTGTCACGTTTGGGACGATCTAGTTGTGTTACAGAAAGTGTTTTATCCTGTCCTGCAGTCTTTTTGTGATGCTTCTGTCTTAGCTGTGTACATTTAGCTAAACCTAGATACAACTTTCATGTCCACTGGTTGAAAAGTTTTGCTGTGGTCTCTTACTGTTTCAGTGTTGGGCTAGTCAGACAAACTAAAACAGTATTGTATAGAACGTACGAGCACAAAGGAGACTGTCCAACTGTGTCAGTGCCAAAAAGAGTTAGGAACCAAAACATTAGTTGTGTTGTTCTTTTGTTGGTTGCTGTGGACAGTCAGGACACATCACATCGCTGGAGGCTGTTCAGTCCCTTCAGCTGCGACTCAGTGGGCAAGTGTCCATTTTAGCAAAAGCTGACATTACCTTGTTTGTTCCCTCCACTTTCTGCTACTTGTCTGGATCCAAGATTTTTTCAGTGATTAATTATATTGCAAGGAATTATTGTTTTATATAACTGGGAAAGTGAATGTGGTATATTGTAAATGTTATTAAAATAATTATAGGCCTTTGATTACCCACTGGTTTTCCATCATTCAGAAGTATTAAATTTCATCCCCATTGTTTAATACAAACCTGAATTTCACTGGGTGAACAGTGCAGAAACCCTGCTCACTCACTTAAGATGAAAACTAAGGGCTTGTGTACTTTAGCCATACTGTGTGTATGATACAAAGAGGAGGATGAGTGAGAGTTTTTATCAGCTAAGTTTAACCCATCAGAAACACTGGAGTTCTGTGGGCCGACTGTACTGCGGGTGGGAAACGTCTGGTCAGGATCGTGTAAAGAAAAAATGTAGAGATGTACCACGAGGTTGATGGACGTGGGCCGCTGTCGGTAGTTTATTATTATCGGTGTTGCAGTAAAAGGACTCGTCTGTTTTCTGCAGCAAAGTCCAACCTGTAATCACGACTCTCCTGCAGGATGTTGGTACAATATCAGGTCAAGGTTTGATGATATGTGTTGTTCAGTTTGTTTATTATTATCGGTGTTGCAGTAAAAGGACTCGTCTGTTTTCTGCAGCAAAGTCCAACCTGTAATCACGACTCTCCTGCAGGATGTTGGTACAATATCAGGTCAAGGTTTGATGATATGTGTTGTTCAGTTTGCTACATAGTGAGGACGTTTTGGCTGGTCCTCACTTTCTGAAGCACCTTTTTGATAACGTGTTTTCTTCCTGTGTTGTTCATAGGAAATGACTTTCTGAGTGAAGGGGGGGTGCTGAACGCTGTCAGTAGGTTTCACTGCGCTTCATTTATCTCAGCTCATCACATTTGAATTCACACGTGTGGTTATCCATATATTTTTACATGTTCTAATAAAAGGTGCATTTTGATAGTGTGTGTGTTTCAGGCATGGGGCTGAGCACCAGTGAGGGTCAGCTGTGCATTAGTGTTGAAGCCAGCACTGTCAGACTGCCCCCAGTCGCAGTAAGAGAACGAAACATGGTCACTTATAACCTATATCTCATCTGTCTTTATTCATAACTAACCGTGTCCATTTTGACACATTCTGCAAGTACAAACAAGCAAACAAAGACCAAATGCTGCAGAGAAAACAATCCAGGAATAAAACATCCATGATAGAGATGTTTCTGTGTGTGGCTGTTGCAGCTGGAGGACTTCGACTTCCCGCCCATAGTGCTGAGCAGGTTCTGCAGTGACCCTGACTCCTGTCTTGATCTTGAGCAGGCCAGATGGTGTCATGTCCTGCCCAGGTACCACAGTGCCATCACACATCTGAGAGGCTTTAGACACAAGGCTGGGTCCTCACCAGCTCTGTAAAACCTGAGCTGAATATGGTCGTTCATATTGTGAAACACAGAAGAAACAGACTCAGGGCTGTTCACAGACTCAGAGTATGGGTACTGATACAGACATGTTAGGCTATTAATGACAGATTTTCTCTAAAATAAAGATAAAATTGCATAGGTATTTTTTGTAACTGCTTGATTTTCAGCTTTTGTCACACAAGAAGCTGTCTGTCAATTTTATCTTGTTTCCTAATAAACGAGACAGAGCATATAGACTGTAACTGTACAAACTAGACAGAGTCCTCTGATGACATGAAGGTGAGAGATGAGGTTAGACAGGTAACTGCTCCAGATTCTACAGACGCAAAACAAACAGGAGGTGTTATACTGAGAATGAGCAGCAGGTGGAGCTGTAGCCCTTTAAAAACAGGCAGCCAGTCTGCAGGAGATCCCCACGTCTGCTTCACTCCTCAGCGTTTATTCACTCGCACCACGTTCATCCAGATATACTGACTCACAAAACAGACACATTATCTCTCAGTAAATAATTTTATATGTGTGTTTAGCATGAGGAGAGGTGAGATTATCGCCGTCCGCCGCCAGCTTCCTAGTGACGGCCCGTTCAGGACCTACGGAGACCTACAGAACCACTGGAACAGCCTGGTACACAACACACAAACCTGGTTTTTCAAATTGATGCAAAACTGCAGGAAGCAGCAGGCCTGCTTTCCATGACACAAAGCATTCCATCCACTTGCTGAGGTTCTTAGGAGTTACCGTCTGTGACCAGTATGTGCACATGAAAAATCACAGCTCATTAATCCGGAGTAATCTGTTACAAAGCCTCAAGCTCTGAACTGAAATTTGGCACCAAATGCTTGTAGCACATTTTTGTAACCTGGTTTAAATGACAGTTGTGTTAATGCAGAGGTGGCACTCACAGTCACTGTGCTATGTGTTTCCTAGTACGGTTACAGGCTTCCTGAGCTTGCAGAGCAGGAGCTGGTGTACTGCAGTGTCTGCTTCAGGCTGCTGGGAAACAGACTCTTCACGTATCCTGAAACATGCATATCAGATTAGTTCAAATTAGTTAATGATCAAAATAGCTTGCTGTATTATAAGTAGCTGATTATGTGGAGCTGAAGGCAGGAAAATGCCAGGTTATAATACAGAGTGTGTGTGAGGTAAAACCCACAGAATATTCCTTTAACCCGGCACTGTGCAGCTACCCTCTGAGCTGTATCCGCATGCAGCCGGTGCAGCGCTGCCCTCGGGTCGACCTGCACCAGACGCTGGGCTCCTTCCTGCCTGACATCAGGGACACACTGCAGAGTGTGTGTGGCTTCCCTGCACGTCTGACCAGCAAACCCCGTGTCCACACGGTCGCTCCGAACACCACTACAACAGTACAGGTATACGAATATAACACTGCTACATGTCTGAAGTGTGAAGAGCTATGCTTACACGCAGGTTATTTTATGTCGTGTGTAGAGGGTGAGCTCAGCGAAAGGAAAAGTCATTGTCAGACCGCTCCCAGTAAAATCTTCATGGATGGTTTTATGGCCACAGAGGTGCGTCACTGAGGAGAAGGAGGTGGAGAGAAAGTTCTCAGCACTGTGAGGATTCATTTTCACATTACAGATGTCAGAATGAAGGTGAACTAAGGGTGGTTCAGGTTGTCTAAGTGTCACGTTAAATTTAAGAAGAAAGTCTTGGGAATGCACGTCTCTGTTTCACCAAAGACGAGATCGGCCTCATCGTCTTCAGCAAGGACAACAGTTTATATTCTTAGTAGAAGAAACAGATGTCTGTGTACTCTACAACAGCTTATACACAGAGGGCAGGGATTTTTGGTTGAGCTGTTCACATCGATAGTATAAAAACTGTGGCATGCAGTTCTAAGTAGACGTGGCTTCAGATTAAACCCGTGACCCTGTTTCTGTGGCCGCACTAATACATCAGATGTTAGCTTGGAAACTGTTGACCAGACCCTAACGTGATGCTCCATGAGCTCTGACAGTACAACGTGCACACAGTGTGTGTCCTGATGTCACAGAGTTTAACTGGGTACACGGCCAAAAGCCACAGAGGTTGTGGGTCTTCTTTTGTGTAAAGTTCTTTGCTGTGTTCTGTCTCCTCTTCTTCCCCAGGAGCTGAATAGTCAGGTCAGCACGATGTCCTCCTCCAAGCTGGACATTTCTCAGGTCGCTGCTCTTCCTCCTCCTCAGCCTGTGAAGCCTTTCTGTTGGTCACAGCCACCGGCCTGGACCCCCCTCTCCCAGCAGGGCGGCGCTCCGGGGCAGAGCCAGGGCTGTCAAGGAGACAGAACCGGGCCTTTGTCATTGTCCTTCTCCTCTACTCTTACACACTTCCAGGCACCTTTGTGCCTTACCAGCTCCACTTCTTCCTCCTCCTCTTCAGCCCACTCCTCTGGTCCTGGCCCAAGTCAAACTCCAGTATACTCCCCTCATAAATGTGTTCCTGTATTCAAGAGCAAGTGTTCATTGCATCCAGGCAGTGATGGGCTGCAGCCAGCCCAGAACCAGTGTCTGAGTGGCAGAGTGGTGGAAAGGGCCACAGTGACTGCATTCGATAAAGGCGCTGATTCTCCTTCCTCATCCCTCCCAGCTCCTCCCCCTCCCACCGTCCCTCACTTCAACCATTGCCCTAAGCGTTACAGCAGCACTGATCCTCAGCCGCCAGCTCACCCCAAACTCAAGCGCATCTTTGGCCCTGAGATTGTCCTCACTCCAAACCAGGAGATTAAGTCCAAGTCTGGCCCCAAAACCAGCTCTGATGGGGAAGCTGTTGCTTACTCCAGCAGTGGACGGCAGGAAAAGGCAGCCAAACAGCCATCAGCTGCACCACCTGAGCCTCCTCGACCTCCACCATCTTCTGCTGTCTCCAGCAAAGATACCTGCAGCAGCAGCCGACAGGTGAGTCCCTCAGAGTGTGCGTTATTGCAACAGGTTCCTGCTGTTTCTTGTCTCGTCAGACCTATTTTTAGGGAACTCATCTGGCTCCCAGTTCTCAGTGAGATATGTCAGTGTGGTAACGTGCAGAAAGCAGAAAAGTACTGTGTCAGGAAAAATGCTGGCCTTTAAAACTATTGATAATTCACTGAGATCACAAGATACACGTGGGCTCGTGACTCCGAGTGCCAGGACAGGAGGGAGGGAAGGCCTTCTCCTTCTCTGCTCCAGATTCTTGGAGTAAATCTGTCGGGAATTTTTAAGTGTTGTGGTAACTCCAGTTTTTTATTTTTTTCATTTAATAAACGCTCATTTTAGATATTTTCATATTTCAGTGTTACAAATGTTCGTGTAAATTCAGCAGATTTGCCTCATTAGTTATTATTAAATTGTACCTTATCTGATTGTATATGTCAGTATTGTATATATCAGCTATCGGCCCTGTGCTCTCTCTAAAGATCAGCATCGGTATCAGCCATTAAAAACCCATATGAGTTGAGCAGTACCCACTGTGGCTGCACAGCTAGTGACTGAGATGGGAAACAGTGTTAGAGGCTTTAGAATTGAGGCGTCCCAGTGCGTCCACTCACACTGTGCACCCAGCTCCAGGAGGAGGGCTACACACATTAACAGGAGGTACTGCATTGTATTCGTGGTGACCAGCGTGCACGCAGTTCTTCAGTCTGTTTCCTTTCAGAGGGGTGATGACTGTTAAAGTGATGGATGGTCAGGAGGAGGTGGGAGCCACGCAGATTAATAACAACATTCATCAATTTTACAGCACCAACCTGCAGGTCTTCAGGAACAATACGTCACGTACATTTTCAGTTTTACTTTGTTTACACAGCTGCACCACGGGACCTGGTGTTAATAGAGATGTTTAGGAAGCTGCTGGGGCCTCGGCTCAGAACCACTCAGGGTTCTGATGACCTTAGATGTGATGGCCCAGCTCTGACACCTTCAAACCCAAACCGTGTCTTTGACTAACTGGTTTCTCGGCTGCACTTTGGTTTCATCTGTCGCATTCGTACAACTTGTCACTGCACTGTAGCTGTGTCTGAGCCCCTGTTTTATTACTATCTATTTCATTTCAGTTGAACACCATGGTTTTTTTTGCCTCGGCTGATTTGTTCTGGTTCTTATTTTTCTTAATGCTAATGCTCTCTTTGCCTGTGTAAACACTTTGATGGCCTCTGAGTTTGAAATGTGCTACATGAGCAAAGCTGCCTTGCTTAAGGTTTTAACGAGGCAGTGGGATGTCGTCTAACACCTGAGCTGAGTAAGAAAAAGCTCACTTCACCAGGTTGATTTACTGTTTTGTCGGTGTTGTTTCAGGAAGTTGTGTTAGAGTCGAACGTGATGCAAGACGTGGAGGAAATGGCCAGAAGTCACCAGGTCAGGACATAAAGTGAACTTCGCCCTGTTGTTGTCATCCTCATCTCCCTTTTTGTGTTTCTACATCCTCCTCCTGTTCTTCCCACCAACTCTAACCTCTCTGTCTCCTCTGTCTGTCTCTCTCTAACCTCTCTCTCTCTCCCCTGTCTCTCTCTAACCTGTCTCTCTCTCCTCTCTCTCTCCTCTGTCTCTCTCTAACCTCTCTCTCTCCAGCTGTCCAGGCTGAGCTGTGCCACTCTGTCCTCTGAAAGGAAGGGGTGTGCTGGTCAAGGCCAGACACTAGAAGGAGCACCTGATCTTGATGATCATGGAAAGTCTGACTGAGGCCTACACACACATGGCCACACGCAGACACACACACACTCACACACGGACACACACTGTATCTGCCTAATAGGCTGGAGGGTATTCACGCTGTGCTCAGCTCCTCGTCTAAAGATTCGGTGTCAGATCTGGCTGTTATCAGTCTGATTCAAAGGGCGCAGATAGAACAGATGAGAAAAACTCATCCTCTAATTGAAATGCTGACAATTTGCCAAAATGACTTTTAGTTCCAGATAAAGTGTCTGTGATGCCCACAGGAAGCTACACAGTGAAGCCACTCTGGTGTTGTGTGATGGTCAGTGTCACATAGTTCAGGCTGACGAGCAGGTCACCGCCATCACCTCACTCCATTTGTTTGATTAATGACCTCACACTGGTGTTTAGAGTCGCTGCTGTGACAGACATTTCTCCTGCAGGTCTAAGGGGCTGTCATTTATTCTCTGCCACTGTTGGTTTAGTTTCTTTTATTCTGTGAGGGTAGGTTTTTCTTGTTGCCTTTAAATCTCAGACAGTCATCATCTACCTCTGTCAAATCCAGGCATTAAAATTAACCACATAAATTACTTAAGTGAAGAGTTATATGGTATTTACAAGTTATGTTAGGTCGTTTCCTCAAAGTTAAACTGCAGGTTTGTCCATTTTTCACTTGTTAAAAAGAGTGTTGTGAGTTCGAAATCACTGACGTAGATCTGTTGACCAGTCTGTTTTCTACAGCCAGTAATGTGGTTGTCACTGCTGCCATGTTGTTCATGTACAGTTTATATTAAAAATCAGTTTGAATTTGAATTCAGGTGTGTTGTTCTGTCCTTACTTTCATTTGCATCCCCTTTTTCCCTCTGCATGTATTTCCAGGTTTTCCAGGCAGCTTGTGTCTCTCTCTCACACACACACACACACACACACACACACAGGACCATTGATCAGTGTATTAGATGTGCCATGTGTGTGTGTTTTATGTCTGCATGATATTTTCCATGTGCTGGACGTATTTTACCCTGCTGAGTCGTGTCCTGACTGAAAACAGCCTTGTGAGTGTGTGCATTTTGCAGTACATCAGTTAAATGGTCGTGTACTGGACACACACCAGAACGTTTCAGCAGAATCATTCCCATCATGCTCCGGTCAGGAGGGTTTGGCTCAGACCAGATGTGTTAATGTCGTGTGTGGGTATGATCACACAGTACCATCGGGGGTGTCTGACTGGTCCTGAATTCATTCTGCATCTCCAGTGACGAGGAGAACCAGGAGCTTCTAGCTACAGCAGCGTCTCCTTCAGGTCCTGTAACTTGGCCTACTTGTGTTCTTCTACAGAGCTGATCTGTCTTTTCAAAAGCAGAGGTGTGTTTAGACTTTCTGTCCATACTGGTCCAAGTTAAAAGTGTAGTTGTTCCAGAAGTAACAAACCCTCTGGAAATTACTCTGACATTCAGCAGTTTACTAAAGACGTGAACTGGTGCTGATTTCCTGAATTCTGCTTTTATTTTGGTGCCGTACTTGCTGTTTCTTACCTCATGTCCCTGCTCTACTTTCAGGCCCCGCCTTGCCTATGTCTTGTTTGGGGTGTTGTCCTAGTGTTGGGATGCGCTGAACCCCTGGTGGCCGCTGCCATTAGTCTGTGAGTGTGTGTGAGTGAACAGTATAAAACAGTGTGTAGAAAAGCACTATACAGGTTGATTTATGTTGCTACACAGACTTTCCAGCTGTTCATGTTGCTCTGTTTTTTGACCCCCGTTATGCTTGTGTGTGTGTTTTGGTCTCATTGATAGATTTTTGGCTGCGGATGAAATATAATGAATGGAGGCTTTTCCCTCTGTGGACATGATCTGTGTGTGTGTTTGTGTACTGTACTGTACAAATCCGTCTCTTCCTGGGAACGAGGGTGAAAAATCTGAACTCTCTCTGTAAAAACAAATGGAGCTCAGATGACGTGTGGTCCTGCTGTGTTTGTTCACCGTGACTGAGGGGAAATATTTGCCCAGCATAAACATCTTAGGACCCCACTTAACGGGAGGGGCACTTCTGATGACAGACATTAAATCTGCTCTAAATATAACTGTAATGGTAATACAGTGTTAGTTATTGGGCTGCAGGAGGAGATCTGTCTTCCAAGTATGAAACGAGGAGGATTTTCAAAATAAATCTGTCAGAGTCCGCATAGCAGTTAGACATCTTTCTAGTAATTTATCAATATAAAAAATACTTTACAGTTTCTTCCTCTAAATATCTTGACAGAGGCTGAACTGACCCGACACCTACGGCAGCCAGGTGACCACATCCAGATCCTACCAGTTCACTGGGAGCCGGAGGTTGAGACAGTCTGTTGTTCTCCCGCCGGTCAAGCTGATTTCAGGGTGGCTCCCCACGCACAGGAATGTTCTAGTCTTTATTAGTGATGTTGGATCCAGTTTTCTTTTCCAGTGATTCTCTGTGGTAAAAATACTTTTTCAGCCAGTGTGTATCATGTGATAAACGGAAAGTTATAGTAACACTCTGTTATGGTTTAGTCCCCCTCACCAGGAGGGTGAGGGAGAACTGCGGTTGGACTCAGGATTGCTGACCCAGGTGCAAGTAAAAAAGGTGGTTTATTGGTTGGATTACAAAAAGGAACAGAGTTGAGGAACACATACAGCCAGGGCTGAGCAAATACGGCTAAGGAGAACAGGACGACCAGGGGAGAAGACAGGCTAACGGCAAAAAACAGAGAGTGAGGAAGAGGACGGACAGGTGAAAAAACAAATGAATCAGGAGGACTGGCGAATGAAAAAGAAACCCACAGCACAGGAACTGTCAGCGTGGACATCAAAAATGAACGGCTAGCTAACCTAATGGACAAAAAACATACAAAGGGATCCACAGCACAGGAACTGTCAGCGTGGACATCTAAAGACGTATAACACAAAACATATAATCTATGTACACAATGAGATCCACAGCACAGGAACTGTCAGCGTGGAAATCAAACGAAGTGCCACATAACACGACTGTAGGTCAGTTACATAGTATGCAAATTAGATATGTTAAGTTAGTTAATGCTCTGGCGATGACGGAGCGTCTGCCAGAGGTATAAATAAGGAGGAAGGCAATCAGTGGGATGCACCCCAGTTCTGCGCACCGACAAACGATTCGCTAATTACTGGAATGCAACACAGCTGAGGTGCAGAACCCACAGGATCGAGAGCGCAGAGGAGAGAAAGACGGAAGAGAGGCAGGTTGCGCCGAGCGGACCTGACACACTCACAGATTAACACATATCTCTATTTCCACTGCAGATGTGGAGTTGTCTGACTCTGGTAGGTGGTTAGAGATTTTTTTACAAACACATTTTACATATTTTTGGTGGAGCTGCTTCCAGCTAATCACATCCTGCCTTCAGCTCCTCCTTTGCAGGGTCAACCTGATGAGCTCATATATCATTTTCCTGAGCCAAAGTCTGATGTAACTTATCCCTTTGTGCATTAGAGCGCCACTGCTGTCCAAAAAGGTTTTGACTCAGTTCTACATTTACTGCCCTGCTGCCCCAAATATTCACAGGAGCAACACATAGATTAATCCGCCACTGTAAATAGTCCTCCTGTTTGTTCTGCTGTGGCTGACCTCTCTGTGGACTGCTCCATGTAAACCCTCTGATTCCTCTGTCCTACACCGTGTTGCTGGGAGGGTAGAGTTAATGTTGGACATTAACGCTTTGTGCCATGCACAGCTGAGCCAACAGCTGCCCTCACTCCAAAGCTCAGTGAGAAGTGTAATGTTTCCCACACCCTCCCTGTCAGGAAACTCTACCCTGAGCTATGGGAGGCTTGGGACGCTGAGGAATTCCACATTATTTCAGACACACTCAGAGAGAGAGAGTATTCAGTCAGATTCCCAGTAGGTGAAATCACTGTTAGCTGTCAGGCGTTTCATCATCTCACTGTGTGGATATGAACTGTATGCAGCATCTGGCCACATCACAGGAGCGACATCTAACCTCTGAACAATGCATATGCACAGATGTATAGAGGCTGTTATGGAGGAGAAACTTAGCTAAACTGATTTTGGACTGACTTAAGAAAACACACGCTGGTGTTTTTATAGCTGTCAGGACACTCATTGACATATGGCCCCTTAGCTTTGGGCTGCGTTCAAACTGAAAACGCACCTCTTTCCATTCATTTCCATGGGGGTTGCATGTGCTGCAGCCAGCACCAGCGCTGCAGGGGGCTCTGACAAAATTACGTGACCCTGTGCGGCTAAAAATTTGGATCTGGTTCAACTTTTGCAGCACCAGACTGTGACATCATCCGGCAAAGGTGCTGTGTTGCCCACGGGAAGAAGCGTAAGCATTGTTGGCATAAGTATTCACCATCACAACTAAATAAATTTCCATCAGAAAGATCCTGGTACTTTTGTTCCCAGGAACTAGCATCCAAGAAAGTTCCCTGGTGTAAAAGTTCCTCCAGCGCATTGTGGTTTCCACAGTGGGGCCGAAGCCTCCGGGAGATTAAACAAATTAGCATATCAGAAGCGAGACGCTCGGAACGAATGCTGCGTGTGAAATGCTGGGCGGTATGTGACTGATTGGTGACGTGCTCACCTCGACAGAGAAAGTACTACCCCTCATCTGGGAACTTTTAGGGGGGCAGAATTATGGCTCAGAACCAAATTTAGATCCTGGTTCCTGTAGTGGAAATGCAGAACTAAGTTCCAGAAAAGGTTCCTGTTCCCCTGGGAAAGTCCCCTTGGTGTTAACGGGGCCCATCTAACCCCCGGCAAGCCTGACCTGCTGTATGCCGGGGTTATTCATTAGCTGCTCAGTAATTATCAGAGCGTTCCTCAGTAACTACTCACATTCTTGTGTTCTGTGTTGTAAAGTGTTACTAATCCTCCAGATGCTGTAGAGGAGGAATTGTATTCCCAGACCTAATTACATCCCAGTGAAAAGTGAAAAAGATGTGATTAAATATTTACCCAGCTGAGTGTGGACATACTCTAAGCTCCATTTACACACTGCTGGCCCACAAAGTAAACACACACATCACCAGTTTGTGGTCTGCTGCGGCAGTGGGCTTTATCTTGACTGCCTCCTGTTTTATTGTCCAATTCCTAAATCCTCATGTTGAGAAGCTGGCGAGGCTGCAGAGAGGAGGGATCCGGCCCACAGCCCATACAAAGCCTCTTTTGTTCCAGCAGGACAGAAACCAGGAGAAGGTCTGAGCCATCAGCTGTGCAGACATCTGAGTGTGTGTGTTTGGGTGTGTAAAAAGAGTTGGCGGCCAGCGAGAATGTGCTGCACCCAAAGGATGAACCCTTAAACCATAAATAACTGCAGGTTGATGGCGAGGAGCCGACGGGTTCTGTTTAAACTGCTGCTGGGTGAAAGTTACTCTGACTTGAGGACGAGCAGCAAAGCACCAGAAGCAGAGACACCTCAGTTTTAAAGAGGCCTGTGGTAGAACCTTTAGGTTGTTTAGCACCGAGTTAAACACAACATCCTAACATTCACATGTTGTACTCTGTGTGAACAGCTCATCTTCATTAAATGTTCATATAATCCATCTTAACAAGTTGGAGCTGTTTGACATGAGTACCAGTGAGACCATGGTCATTAGCAGCTGAAGCTAACATGTTTGTTTTGGTCACATTAGTGACATAGAGCAGGCCTCGTCTCTCTCCCAGTGTCTCCCTGCAGCAGTGTTTGTCTCTGTTTACAGTCCCTACCCCGGCTGCTTTCCTTCTTTAGTTCCTCCTCTTTCTATCTCGATTTTAATAATTTCACAGAATATAAGCATGATGCATACTGTGGCTTTGCTTCACTAAACTGCCTGAAGACAGGCACAGAATATTTGTCACGTTGTTAAACACCTGCAAAACTGTGATTCCCAACCTTCTAAATGTTTAGTGGAAATGAGGCCTTAATGTGACAAACACGTGAAAAGAGAGACACATGCTGGTAAGTAGTATAAATAGAAATAAACATGTAAATATATACAGCCAAACCGATAGGAGACGGGGGTTTTGGTCCCAGTCCATTGGTGTCAAGACCCAGAAACAGACTAATGTGGACTGAGCAGGTCCATGTGGGACGCCCAGGTCGTCCTCGCTGTACCACTCTGCTGCCTCCTGACTTGTCACTCTGAGACATGTCTGTCCTTCCTCTGGGCAGCGGCTCTGCTCCTTCTCTTCCACACACAGCAGTTTTTCTTTTTGCTGAGACAATCAAGTTGTCCCCTCAGGTCTGAAATGGATCCGTCCTCTTCTTTTATCCCACTCTGTCCTTTTCCCTTCTGTTTATGCAGAAAGCCAAAAGCCAAACAACAGGACAGAGGAGTTACTGACAGACGAGGACAAAGGGAGAAGTCTCTGTGTGTGCTTATAAAACGTCTCCTTTCACATTCGCTGTGTGTGTTCCTGGGCTCGTCTTCATATGAGCATGACCCCGCTGATATCTGGGCCTTCCTGGAGGTTTTAATGTGCCCTGTGGACTGTGCTCATGCAGTGACAGAACATTCTTCTTTCAACCAAAACAAGATTCTCAGTCTTTCGGATCAGATCTTTGACAATGTGTCAGGGTGGTAGTGGAGCGAGATGATGATGCCAGATGGTTGATCTGACACACTGGAACAGCTGGGAACTGGTTTTACTGAGCAGCTTCCAGTGTGAACGTGTAGGTGCACACACTAGTCTCCTCCTCGTGGCCTCGGCCTGCGAAGCGTCCAGCTTGAGGATGAAGAAGCCTGACGTCTGTGAGACCCGGCTTGTTTAAAATAGATTTAATCTGGTCTTCACTTTGATTGACTTTGTCTGGAGCCACAGTCGCTGCTGGCTTCAGAGACGAGACACGTTTTAATAGATGCACTGAGGTTTAGGTTGGTGTCCACAGAATATCCAAATGCAGTTAGTAGCTGTGTTTGCACTGCAGGATGAAACAGGAAAGAACAACTAATGAGCACGAAGCTCTGAATTATTCATATTGTTCCTTGTATTGATTTCTACAATCTCGTCTATGTCTGTCTTTCTCTCACTGCGTCTTTCTCAGGCTACAGTTTTGTCTTCCGCACTCATTCAGATGAATTTAGTTACACATTTTGTCTTAACATGAGACACCTGCTCAAACGTTGTTGTTTTACCAACTTCTTTACAAATGGCCCTTTCAGTTGCTGTTATTCTAATCAATCAGTCTTTGACTTTTAATATCAGGAGCCAACAGATCTCTGAAGAAGTCAAACTCAGCCAGAGCTCAAGATGGCAACGCCACGTGACGTGTGGTCCGGCCACACAGCTGAGTGGTGCTAACAGATAAGGAAACGGCCTAATTAGAGCGGAGAACAGCTAACACAGACATGAGACTAGGCTAATTAAGTCAGTGGCATCTCCAGTTTAATTTCCTATTGCAGACTTTTCCAAGTGTCCAGAGCACGCGACACCTTTGTGAGACGTGAGCACAGTTTGCGGTTGTGGTGTTACTTGCGGCCCATTAACCCTGTAAAGCCTGACACATCAAAAAAATAGCCAGAACATTCAAATTTTTTGGAACTGAGATGTTTATTAAACCTTTTAACAAAATCCAAAATATAATTCAAGATTTTTATTTGCTATTTATGCATAGACAGACAGTCCAGGCATATAGGAATAAATGTACCATATTATTTATTTATTTATTTTTTGGTATCACATTTGATACATGGGGCACTTTTGGCGATTTTTATTTGCTCAGAAACTTGCGTATCAAATATGATACAAGTGGTTTTATAGGTTTAAACCCATGAGGACTGATGCGCAGGCTGCTGTACAGGCTCAGTGATGTGTTGGAGCAGCACGCTTCTCTTCCTGCTCTGATCTGCTGTTTCATCTCCTTTATCCCAGCGAGTGTCCTCAGAAAGCAGAGTGCTCATCTGAGCTGCCCTGCGGCCGCCGGGTGCAGACGAACCGTCCCTCTCTGGTGATCAAGGTGCTTCACTACACAAACGCTGATTTGTTTGAACCGTGGAAGTGATCGTTTCTGAACGTGTGGTGTTATAAATGGAAGAAGGTAATGAATTTTAAACAAAAGGTAAAAACCAGCGTTTCGGGTTCTGCAGACTGACAAGCGTGTCTGTCCAGCAGGTGTAACAAATGTTTCCCAGCAACGGTAATTAATTTAAAAGCCTGGAGGAAAGCGAGCTCTGGCGCTGGAGGTGCGATTAATTAGGACCGGCAGCAGATGAAAGTGGCAGCCTGAGGCTTCGTCTGGATCCTCTCTCTGTGGATCAGCTGCCTTTAACCCTTCGCACCGAGAGGAGGCACTTTATTTTAGTGCCAGCTTTTCCTGAACTGCCTCCAACCTCAAACTGTGTGTTTTACCTCTGCTCTCCCCGACACCCTGAAACCCAGGCTTTTACCGGGCCCTGGCCAAGCTCCGGCCGGCTGGGTCAGCCGTTTGACCGGTGGCGCTCGCTGCACACTGAGCTCCACAACCAGCTCTGTTTTTGAGTTATGTTGTGATACTTCCTTATCGTCCACAGACGTTGACAGTTTGCAGACTCTGTCTGCAGATGTGGCCTTTTCTGTAGCCGCTGCAGTGCACGTGGCTCCAGCTGTAGATGTACATCCTCAGCTGTTTTACCAACAAAACACTAAGGATTGGTGGTTTGGATATGACAAAGGTGTTGCACAGCGATGTTAGAGCCATGGATGCCCTGAATAACTTGCAGTACCTTGACAAAAAAACTCTCCTTTGACAGGGTGTTTTTGGAACCAGCTGTAGAGAACAGGGTGAACTGGCCTCTGCTAATGGTCTTAACATCAGGTGTTGCTGATACAGACGTGCACCAGCTCCAGCAAAGACTCCTGGGATACCACAGTACTCCTGTAATGTCAGCTCTAAACCAGTCTCAGTTTTTGTCTCTCTCAATTAGCGTGAACCACAGCCTGTGTATAAAGATGGACGAAGTGACGGCCTCCAGAAGTGAAGCCAGCGCCAGTCAGTCGCCCCCTGGTGGCTGACTGGGAATTTGTTCACGATGTGGCCTCAGGTGCTCACAGTCAACAAAGCCTTTCTGAATGACATTCATTACATTCTTTCATCTCTCCTGAGCTCATAAAGAAACTCTGTGCTGCTGCCATCTGTGGTTCTGACCTCGGTCAGTGTTTCCACCTCAACTTCAACTTCCAGCTGTGAGGAAATGAATCACTTCAGTCCCAGTGAAGACGTGTTTGTCCTCAGGGTTCAGAAGGGTGAAATCGGACACAGGTGTGTCGGGGCATCAGTCGTGTCCTCTGAGGCGAATGTAATGATACACCATCAGTTAGTCCAACCCTTTGGGGTCAGGAGTCTCGCGGGTAATCATCTCGCGTGTCTCTGGTTCCCAAAACACTGTGGGAACTTTGAGTAGCAGCAGGCCAACATTCATGTGTCTGAAGAGCTGCACTGATTAGAAGAGAGGAAGAAATAATATTGATTTCTGCTTCTGTGAAGCAAGGGTGATGAAAGTGCCTCCAGACTGCCGTGGCCTGTAAACTACAAACATCTGTAAAACTGTCAGGAGCCATCAGCCTGGAGATCTTTATTCAGGAAGGCTGCATTAACATGAGGACACTGTGTGGCAACTGTTAATGATGAATCCAGAGGTTTGTGCCGAGCAGAGCTCCCAGTGACAACAACAGACAGTGAAGGCTGAAACACAGCAGCCTGTGCTGTTTGGTCAGTAACGTTCTGTTAGAGGAGGCTCACCAGTAATACTTATCTAGGTACTCTGTGATTTTAATCACAGGATCAACCGGAAATGTAGAGTTTGAAAAACCACAGCGACCTGCTGATGAGCTTGGACCAGAGAGCCACAGGCAGAGCAGGGGAACGAGGAAGGCTGAGTCCCTACAGGGAGAGTAATACCAGGCACAAACAGACGCGTACTCCTGTACTACACCCATGACTCTCCTCCCGCAGGCCACAGCTAGTCTTTGCATGCCACTGCTCTGTGATCAGAGAAGCAGCAACATCTGCAGCCAGATAGAAGCTGATCATGTTAGGAACACCTTGCATGTTGGAGAGGCCAGCTGGTGTATGTCTCACATGCGTGTACACCGAGGATGAATCTGAAAGCTCTCATCTTGTATTTTAGTGTGAATGAGGACGATGGCCTGCTCGGAGGAGCAGTGGCATTAAAGGAATATTTCACACCCTGGAAGGCCTGCAGAGCGGCCCCCAGGCCAGAGCCTCGGATTGAAACTAGTCAGTTAAAAGACGACAACAGGACATAAAACAGCAAAGAGACACAGAGAGACTATAAAGAGATGCACAGCTCCTACAAAGACACGCAAACAGTTGTTCACAGTGACTGTCCCCACAGATACCCGGGGACAGCGTTCACACAGCTGTTTCAATGAGCATCCACACTAACACTGTTGTTTTATATTTGAGTTGTAGTTCCAGCATGATTCAAACGTCATCTTTGTTCTTCAGATGTTTTTATCCAACATCTGGAGACAGAGCCAAACAACAACACGGAGGAAACGGCTGATGTCTGTACAACACGACTACTGCCAAAACTCTGACCTTATTCTTTATTAACTGTGTTTGTTTTTGTGGAGCAAAGATGATTTTTCACAGTGTGATCTGCTCTCGGTGCGTCGTGGGTTTTGGATGCAGTGACTTTACAGCCCCTCTGACACAGCTCAGTGAGTTTACTGCCCCTGCTTCAGACTTAACACGGTGTGAAATTAGTTTCTAAATAAACAGACCCAACATGGCGCTTTATCATCTCTTATCTCGTGTTGTTTAATAGAACTGGAGCAGAGCAGCAGAACTGTGGGTGAGCCAGACCCACAAAGTCAGACTCACTGATTCAACTCACTGTCCTGATTGACAAAGCTCAGGCGACCCTGAACCTTCCCTGAGCTGTGGGCCCGAGGCTGCTGGGCTCCTCTCCTCTCTCTTTCCTCCTGCTGTCAGTCTGTCCACTTCAGTTTTCTCTCCTGTGCGACTGAAGTGATTCGTTTTGTGGCCTGACTCCCAGCCGATAAGGAACATCAGCAGCTGCTGGAAACATCTGACTTCACTACATCTGATGCAGACAGCTTTTTGCCAATCCTGGAAAACAAGCCCCAGTTTTCTTCGGGCTGTTTCCCCTGTGGCTACAGTTACAGGATGTAAGGAAAGGGAAACTGAATCAAAATCCAGACAACCTCAGAAATGTAAATATAAAGCAAACACCCAGTTTTTAAATGTAGAGCACAGACTATCAAAGTGTAGATTGGCAGACAGATGTGCAGCGCTCGCCTCCTCTGACACACTCTGGGAGGTTTACACAGCAGTGACCAACACAACCAGATGATTCATTTCCACTTAGAAAGAACGTTTCTTTCATCAAATTGTGAAGCAGCCACCAAGTCAGGCTCACCATGCCTGTCTAATGATCTCATCCTGCAGAGGGATCAAGTCACCTGCAATCTAATGAGATTCTCTTGGCAGACATGAAGAATTTCAGCAGCAACAAGCGAGCATGTTGACTCCTGCGTTACAGGTTCGAACTGGAAAGAGCTCTTACAGGCTGACAGGGAATTTAGTGAGAACACTGCTCCTTTTGTGTCATTGTGCACGAAGAGTTTGAAGCAGCCCTGAGGAGCTTGTTGGCAGCCAAGCTGTGGTGTGGGGTAACTGCTGGAAAGCTGCTAGAAACCAGGAATCTGGTCTAAGGGTTTTTCGGGAAATTGCACCATGACCATGATTAATGTCTTGGAGGGTCAGTGGTGTTTCATTTCACAAGACACAGAGAGAGAAGGATGTGGTGAAAAGTCAGCTTTGTGTTCTGGTTCCAGTTAAGCCTCCCCAGTCTCCAGATTTCAAATTGAATTTAGGAGGGTTTTTTCTTGTGGCGTGTGGAGAGGAGCAGTGGAGCGGCGCCAGCCTGCGCCGCTGGACGAGTTCCACCCGAACCGATGTGATGACACTGCTGCGTCTGTTTCTCTGTCTCAGGTTTCTTTACTAAATGTCCAGGAAACACTCTGAGCAGAATAATGCACATCAGGGACGAATCAGCACCTCCTGCACAATATTCACCTGTAACATGAGGCCTCCGTTGTCATGGTTACACAGACACAGCTGGTATCCTTGGTTTTATAGTCTTTTCAGTAAGAGCTTACTCTTTGGTTTTTTTCATGCTGAACTGAGGTGAAGGGACGGTAAAACTAGGAAATTCCAGGGTAGAAATAACATGGTCAGAGTATTAGGTCTGACATTATAACTATAAATATACCAAACCATCAATAGTACCGTAATAGTAATCCATATCAAGTCCAAATAGGTGCATTGTTTACTCTCATTTTTGTTTTACTTTTAGCTATTTGTCTTCTAAGTGAAACAGCCTTGTAGATATGAGTTGATGGAGATAAATGGTGGCGTCATGCAGAGATTAACACACAAGTCCCGCCCCTCCAGCACGTGACCCCCAGACTGACACAGCGTGACCACATGCTCATGCTGTGACCTGGTGCATTTATCACTTTACATTTCTCTGAGGACTTTTTTATACGTCCTCATTTATTCACTAAACTGCTTCACTGTTCCCAGTTTTCAACTTCAGCCAAATATAAACCTTTTAAAACCTTCAGTGTTTTTTGGTCATAAATTTAAAGTGCACATGAACAGGTGGATGGAAACAAAGTGAGATGGAGCCAGCTTGTCCTCCCACAGTGTTATTATTATCAATTATTATTGCCTGAGGTTCACAGTCTAATCATTCACGATACCAGAGGTCATCACATCAGGCCCTGTGGTTTACATCGCTCCATATTCCATCACCCCCCACTGCCCTCTCACCATCACTGAGGCCCCCGCAGCTGCACATTTAAACCTGCTCTCATATCCAGATGTGTCACTGTTGTGTAAATGGAGCCTGTTTTGGATTCTCAGTCCAGGTGGATGGAGTCTGTCTCAGATGTTGTGTCTGTCTTCAGCCTCCTGGTGATTCCTCATCTTCCTCAGTTTTCTTCTTTGATTTCTGCAGAAACACTAAAACTCACTCTGGAGCAACCGACATCTGAAAGAGGACGTACAGATGTTCGCTGCTGGGAAACCACAGAACTGAAGTCCTGCTGGGTTCTGTCCTGCCTTCTTCTTCTTCTATCTTCAGTCCAGTTTCTAAACTTCTTCCATTTCTTTCTTTATTACTGGCAGCACTGTGAACTAAAGCTCTTTTCCACATCAGTGCCAGCCATCATTAGATACAGGAAGTGTCTGCTTTGTGTTAAACTCTCTAATGACGTGTGAGACTGCTTGGTCACCTGAACTATCAGCTGCTGCTTTGAGAATATTTGAAGGCGATCATGCAGAGAATGAGCGAGTGCCGTGTTTATCCTCGCAAGCTTGGGAGGTGCTTTGTGCAGTTTTATTGGAATGAAAATAAGAATTAGCAGCTTCAGTCAACAACACCCACCTTCAAAACCCAATCACAACATGCACTTGTATCATCAGAATGGTTTTACAGAATTTATGTTTGATCCACACAGAAGTTTTCTTACTAGTCTCTCTTCAAAGGAGAGGTGTTTTCAAAATCTCACTGAGACTAACTAGCTAAGCAAAGGAAGGACAAACCGAGGAGCCACGTGGGTTCATAAAGTTTCCTCTGAGGAGAGTTAAGGCACCGCTCAGTCCTGATGTGCATGTTTCCATGTTCATTTGATGAAATCCATTTTTAAATTTCTATCCAGAGAAAATCAGGAAACATGTTCACTCCCAGGACAACTTTCAGTGGATGCTGGGACACAAAGTCTAGTTTCTGTGGACTAACACTGTTTATGTACCCCCCCCAGGTTTCAGTCTTACCACTAGATGTTGAAGCTGACACAAGAGCATTAGCGAGGCCCAGTGCTGATGTTGGGTGATAACATCTGGATCAGAATCAGTGTTCCAGTTCATCCCAAAGGGGACAGATGTAGGCGAGGTCAGGACCAGTATGAGAAAACCACTTTGTCATGATGAAAGAGAAAGACAAACTGGAAGAACACTTGTCTAAACTGTGTTTCTATACCGGAGCACTGATTAGAACAGACGGGGACAACCAGGAAAGAGACCAAAAGGACTAAGTGTCCACATATTTTTGGCCATATGCTGCATATATTTAGGTTTCATATTTGACTGGATGTGACTCGGGAACAGTCTATGTTTGTTAGGAACCTAATTCCTGTAGTTTTTGGATTCTGGGTTGTTCAAACAGTGGCTCTGGACCTCAGAGATGAGTCACTGGAGAAACAGCGTTCCATCGACCGATGTACAGGCAAGTGCCTGTGTCGTGTCCAGGAGGTTTGGTGAATTTCAGGGTGAATACTTCAGCAGGGGCTGCCTCTGTTTCCCACGGTGTTCTGGTGAATGTCCTGCACCAGCAGCTCGCGTTAACACCAAAGCTCCTCCTCCAGTAAAAGGGTGAAGCGGTGCCCCAATGGCCCGTGGGACTCCACCCCGTGTACGGCTTCACCTCTTCAGAAGTTCAGCGCAGTGTGGACACGGCCTCTTCCCTCCCAGGCCCCTCCTCCTACAGCTGAAGACCCTCCCTCTTGGAGGAGGCTGGTCAAGATGTTGAGGAGACGCTGATGGATGCCTCTGCCTCTTCCGCCTCCTCCCCTGTCCTCATCTCCCTCCTCTAGCCCTCCCTCTGTTTCTGAGCACTCCTGCACCGCTCGCTGCAGCTCCACCTGTGTAGAACAGCACAGAGGACAGTTCAGCCCTGTGTCTGTCGTCTACCAAAGTCTGTAAAAACTGGATTCATGATCAACATCATAGGTGCTTCTCCATACTGGATTTTGGCTGAGGTGTCACTAGTCAGTGCCTTTAAAGAGGCTTCAGATTACTTTGCATTACAGGGCTGCACAGGGGGGAAATCGGGGGACTACATGGGCCCCCTGGACACAAACTTGAATCTGATCAGCCCTGGTTACGTCACCTGGGTGAGAGTGTCTGATGCTGAATGACCCAATGATGCCAGGTTACATCACTGAAGATCAGAAAAAGTGAAAGCAGACCTACCTGCAGAGGGAGACCTGCCTTGGCCCCCAGCAGCGTGGGAGAAAACCAAGGCCTGAAAATCTTCTCACAGATCACCTGAAGAAGGACAAAAGGAGAGATGAGTGAGGAGGGTAGGTAAAAAGAGAGGAAGGAGGAGGGAGACAGGTGAGATCAGAGTGAAAAGGAAGAGAAGAAGTAGAGGAGACAGGAACAGACAGAAGTCTTTTTTCTGTCATGCAGATGACACCTCGCTTTTTGTTATAAGTCAGTTAAAAAGAGTCCTTTCTCTGAGGAGAGGAGTGATGGGTGGAGGGTCACCAGACATCATGCAGCATCACATTGGACCAATAGGAGAGTGGTGTTATTAATAATAATAATAATAATAAAAAAACTTTATTTATATAGCGCTCTCCAACTCACAGGAGCACCAGAGTGCTGTACAATAAAAACACACAACACAAAACAATGACTATAAAACACATAAGGAAATAGTGTGCTAGACCAAAGCTAAAACAAAACAATAAAACAAGCTAGGCCTCAAAAGCCTGCTTAAAGAAGTGGGTCTTTAAGGCCAACTTAAAGGCCACTAGTTCGCTTTCCACCCGTAGTTCTAGCAGCAGAGCAGTCTGGGGCCACAAATAGAAAAGGAACAGTTGCCCCATTTCTTATAGCGGGATCATGGGACCACCGGCGACAAATGATCAGCAGAGCGGAGAGCTCTCCGCGGCACATAAATTGCCAACAGGTCAGATAAGTAAGAAGGTGCGAGGCCGTGAATAGCCTTAAAAACAAACAATAAAATCTTAAATTCTGAATTGGATTGGAAACCAGTGACGAGCATGGAGAATAGGGGAGATATGAGCAAACCTGGGGGTGTTAGATAGCTTCCTTCTGCTGACCAGCTTTTTAAAGATGCTGATTTCATTTTCCAGCAGAATTTGGCACCTGCCCACACTGCCAAAAACACCAAAGGTTGGTTAAATGGCCATGGTGTTGGTGTGCTTGACTGGCCAGCAAACTCACCAGACCTGAACCCCACAGAGAATCTATGGGGTACTGTCAAGAGGAAAATGAGAAAGGAGAAACAAAAAAATGCAGATGAGCTGAAGGCCACTGTCAAAGAAACCTGGGCTTCCATACCACCTCAGCAGTGCCACAGACTGATCACCTCCATGCCATGCCGAATTGACGCAGTAATTACAGCAAAGGGAGCCCCTGCCAAGTATTGAGTAAAAGAACATACTTTCCAGAAGGCCAACAATTCACTAAAAATGTTTTTTATAGGTCTTATGAGGTATTCTAATTTATTGAGATAGTGAATTGGTGGGTTTTTGTTAAATGTGGGCCAAAATCATTACAATTAAAAGACCCAATGGCTTAAACTACTTCATTCTGTGTGTACTGAATGTATATAATACACGAGTTTCACTATTTGAGTTGAATTACCGAAATAAATGGACTTTTCCATGACATTCTAATTTATTGAGCTGCACCTGTATATGGAGAAAAGAGTTATGGAGCCAGGGTTGAACTTTGCAGAACACCTGAGGTGAGGTTTCCCCGAGTCCAACGCTGGTGAAACTGCAAAGCTCATCAGGGGAGCTATATTAGAGACACAGCCGCGAATACTAACAGAGAAGGTTCTGTCAGTCAAAAGGGAAGAAAACCAGTTTAACAGAGTGCCTTTAAACCCAAAGAGGTGTTCAAGTCTCAACAAAACAATAGCGTGATCGACAGTATCGAAGGCTGCAGATAGATCCAAAAGAACTAACAAAACAGGACATTTGGTATCGAGAGCCATAGTGATATTATGAACACAAGTAACGCAGATTCTATACTATGGCGGGGCTTAAAGCCAGATTGAAACTTATCGGCAATATTTAAACAATCTAAATGAGCCTGCAGCTGGGTAGCTACAATTTTTTTCCAGAATTTTGGACAAAAAAGGATGAAGGGAAATTGGACGAAAAGACGACAATAAAGAGGTATCGAGATTAGGTTTTTTTAAGGAGTGAAGTGGGCGAACTATCACATGCTTAAGAGCAGTCGGGACCACACCCGTATCCAAGGAGAGATGAATGAACATGACTAGAATGGGACCCAGAACATCAAAACCCTCCTTCATGAACCTGGCAGGAAGCAGGTCAAGGGGCGAAGAGGTCAGTTTTAAGTAAGCTATGGTCTCTTTTAATTGAAATAGGGAAATCGGAGTGAAGGAATTAAGAGTATGAACTATGGGCGAAACAGGCTGTGAATACACTAAGGGCTTAGGCATATTGCGCCTGAAATCCCCAACCTTATCACTAAAATATCTTAAAAATTGGTTACACAGAGCAGTGGAACCCTCCAAGGGCAAAGCACCGACTGGGTTAATAACAGTGTATAGTTCTAAAAAGGACTCTCGGGTTACGACTGTTTGTTGCTATAGCGTTGGACAGGAATTGAGTTTTAGAGACTTTCACAGCCTCCTGGTAGGCAAGGAGGCTAGTTCTTGATATATCCAGCAAGGCGTGCAATCCATCTTTTTTCCACTTGCGTTTGGCTTGCCTACAGGTCCTCCGCAAGGACCGGGTAGTGTCATTTAGCCAAGGAGAAGATACGTTGCCAGCCCTTCTAGTCCTGAGAGGCACAACAGAGTCCATAATCCGGGCTGAAGTCAAATTCAGTGAGGAGAGAAATACCTCAGGGCAGGACGGAAGATTCTGAACGACAGAGGAATAGAATTCAGAACCTAAGAATGCAGCAGCAAAGTCAGAGGGGGTAGAGGAAGTAATAATCCTGTGATGCAGCCGAGGGGCCACTGGTCTGGGCAGCCTAATCGGTTGCGAAACTTCAAAATGAATAAGGAAGTGATCAGATATAGCTATATTTGACACATCCTTAATAACAACAGATAGACCCCGAGAAATAACGAGGTCTAATGTGACCCCGCGAATGTGGGTAGGACATACCACTAACTGACACAGGTCAAATGAGTCCAATAAAATGTTAAAATCATTAAGAAGGTGGTTACCTTGAAGGTTAAAGTCCCCAGAAATCAACAGACAGCCTGTGAAGTAAACACGGCCAAAAACTCTCCCAGTTCGTGGATAAAGTCCTTAGATTTAGGGGGGCGATAAATTACTGCACATAAAATAGGACAGTGCAGGGTGCAGGGATAAAACAAAAGTTTGTACCTCGAAGATGGAAAAAGCCATGTCGGGCAGGAGGCGACATTTTAAAGTTGGCTTAAAAACAAATGCCAGGCCACCGCCTTGATCAGCGAGACGTGGGGAATTAAGAAAGAATTAGCCAGCCAGTAAAAGCTTGGAGAACAAGATGTTATCACCTCGTTTTAGCCAGGTTTCCGTGATGAAAAATATATCCAAATCGTATGTGGTGATAAGATCATTCAGGATAAAAGTTTTGTTGTTGAGTGATCTTATGTTAAACAGGGCAAACTGAAGCAAGCTAGGCTGGACCTGAGGGCACACAGTGCGGGACTCAGGGCGCAGATTGGAATGGAGACAGTGTTGAGTATAGCGTTTCACCGGACGAAAGTATTGAAGAGGGGGGTCGGTGTCCAGGTATACTGGTTGAAGAAAGTGGTAACTGAAGGTAACCGACCATCTTGAACCGCCGTGGCCTTCCTCCGGCAAGTAACCCATCCCCTGAGATCGATTCAAAGCAGATTTCAGCTTGACGTGTAGTCCTGCTCTCCTGCCGCGTCGTCTCCGCCGAAGCCTAACTGGTGACGGATGGGGTGAGCGTCGCAGAAAGGACGGTACAGACGCTAGCAGAGGTGGTGGAGGATTAAATTGTTGACCATGACAGTAATATGGGCCGCTGGTAATCGAGTTGCATATGTCAAACAACGTCAAACGATCATACACCAAAGTAGAAAAGGCAGACGGAACATCAAAAGCTGCAAAAAGACAAATACACAGGAGGAGTAGATGGCTGGCCAAAAACAGCGGTGCCATCTTGTAGCAGTACACTACTTGGTATGACCCTCAACATGTTGTCAACATGTCACCAGCACCTTGTTTCATGTGATGTGTTTGGTCCAGTCTTCACCCGGTCAAATATCTTCTGCTCATGTTTATGTTTATGTTTCCTCTTTCTTCATCATCTCCTCTTTCTGCTCATCTCTTATTTAGCATTTTTACAGTTTCTATCCTTTGTTCAACATCAGTTCTTGTTTTGTTCTTTTTGATTTTTTTTTTGTTCACTTCATGTTTTTTCTTGCTTCATTTCTCTACAGCTGGATTTCCCCTCCCTCATAGTTTTATTTTCCATGTGTTGTCAGCCTCTCATTACCTCCAGCTCCTTATACAGGACAGTTTTAGTGTGTAATTGATGTAAAATGTTAAGGTTGTCATAGTCTAATCTGCCGTCTCCTGTTTCTCCATTTGTGCATTGCATCCAGTCATCACCCGTAGAAACGTTATTCCCCTCTGCTGAATGCAGGTATCTCATGTTATATGACATGTGATATGGGAACTGGCAGGGTGATGAGAGTCTGTCTGGTCGTTGTCGTGGTGATCACGGCAGTGATGGCGACGCCCAGCTTGGCTTTTATGTCCCTGACATTTCCTCCAAGTCGGCGAATCTTCAGAATGGCTTTAACATTGAGCTGAAGAGCCAAAATTATTATTATTATTAATTCCTTTTAATAAAAATATAATGTTGTAGGCAGGTTACTTTACATTCGTGGTCTTAGTATTAAGAATTATTAGTAGTATGACTTATGGTACCCTGACTAATTATTTGATTTGAAAGTCATTTCACCATCTCCAATATGTTGCTTCTACAGTCATTTAGATTTAAATTTAGTCACCCAGTATAATTAGAATATAATATTGAGTCTCTTTCTACTAATGGCTATCATTTAATACTTTTAAATTCTACTACTAATAATAATAACACATTGTCCTTTATAAACTGACAAATTATCTGACAAATAAATAAAATAAACATTATTATAAAAAAAAAATCATCTTGTTTCATGACATTTCACAAAATATACAATAAAATAAACATCATATTTGAATTAGTGACACTTTTACAGTTTTACCTCTGGATTAATAATAATAATTTCTATATATGAAATTAAGCAAACAAATTTCCTGATCAGATCTCTTCACAGTAGATTTACAAACACAACCCGCCTGCAGAGCCTCGTCTCCCCTGACCAGTAATTATCAGTCCAGTGTCTCTGTAGTATAATTACATGTTGTGAGAGACGGATCAGCCGACGCTGACGTTTACATTTTCAGCCTGAGAAGAAACAGAAAACCACTCACGTCTCAGTATTTCTTGGACAAAAACGACACAAGTGACTCAGAAGAGAAGTAAAATCAGGGGGAATATTTCAAAATACATCAAAATGTAAATGTTGCATTTTTTGTTTTAAAATCCAGAAACCTGTAGTTTAGTTTCAGAAAGTGGTTAAAGCATGAAGCAGTGATGTTTCACTGTTTATTTTGTCTGCTCATAAGAAAACTCTAAACATAGTGCTGAAATGTGCTGAGTGAGAAAATGTAAGTGCCACAGGAACGTGGCTCTTTGTGTGGGGTGGCACGCTCCGCCTCAGTCTAACCTGCAGGTTGCTGTTTCGGCGGCGGGGGTTACACCTGAGCTTGTTCAGGTTACACCTGGACAAACAGTCGAAGAAGTTACAGTCATCATCGTTGCTGCAGTTCTGGTCCAGGATGTCCCTCATCTTTGGTTCAAAGAAGGCCATGTCCACATCAATGGCCACCACCTGCAGGAGGCGCCACCATTTAGTGTCATGTTAATTTGCAAAAACTAATCTTATTAGAGTGACCCAGAGTCAGCCTCTGGGCACAACAGTGGATTTCGGCCTCAGCACCAGTTAGTGGTGATAACACAACGTAAATGTGGACTCACCGTCAGGTCATTCCTGATGGCAAAGTTCTCCGGTTTGATGTCGCACAGGTGCAGTCTGTGGGTGAAGTCGTTGTCGAAGTGCCACACCATGTCCAGGAAGCTCAGCGCGATGCGATGGACCATCTCCCTTGCAGCCCACCTCCCACGGGGTCCGGCTCGGTCCTGGCCCCGCATCCCAGAGACGGCCACCTCATCCAGTGAGAAGATGTTTTGGTCCCAGGCGCGTCCAGCAGACAGGTACTCCACTGCGTAGAAGTGACCGCAGGAGCCCAGCACCTTGGCCACGTGGGTGCTGAGGTCCTGCAGGACTCTGGAGACCAGAGCAGGACAGGTGGAGGTTCAGGAGGGCATCCACAAATATACACAAGACACATGACAGAGAGGTTTTTATATGTAAGGTTTAACTGCTCAAGCGTGACTGCAGCTAGTGTGCCAAGTGAGGCTTCGGGGTGAGGGGTCGGGTGAGGGATGTGTACTGTGAACATTTCAGGCATCATCTGACTCCTGCTGGTTCACCTGAGAAAGGTGTACTCCTCCTGCTGCAGAAGAGACCAAAGCGACAACAGCTCCGCTCGAGAGTAACTCCTCTCTCTGTTCTTCAGTTTCTTCCCCCAGATTCTGGCCAGAGAGCTGTTGCTTCCTCCGCCTTCATCTTCGTCTTCATCAGCCAACCCTAAGGAGTTTCGTACCTGAGATGAGAGGAAGTGAATATGCAGTGTAACCTTGACACACAGCAGACGTCAGCGTGAATCAGGCCCTCACCATTTGTCTGGTGAGTGGCCCAGTTCCTTTAAGCACTTACTTCCAGAGTGGCATAAAACACCACATCCAGAGGGGAGAGCTCCTCTGCTGTGTCCTGTTGAGCACAGGAGACTTATTACTGTCAGTGACCACCCTGGATGTTGACACAAAGTAAAGCTTCAGTGATTGGAATCATAGAGCAGGCATCACCTGATAGTCCAGTATTCCCAGTGGCTCATAGGAGGAGAAGTTCTCCAGTTTGGACTTGAGGATGATGGGCTCTCCTCTCCAGCGTGCCTCGATCACCTTCTTCCCGTTCTCGTAGTAGAGACAGCGCTTGTACTCAACCAGACCCAGCACACACAGGTCCTCGCACATGTCCCCCGTCACTGAGCCCTCACCGAACTCCAGGCACTGTACGGCAGAGCAGGAGGGACACAGCAACGGCGTCAGGTCACTAAACCCCGAACAATGTCACAGACTTGAGTTAAGGTTACAGCATCACCCTGAGAGCCTGGGACCAAACAGGAAGTTTCAACCTCAGTATGTAGGTTCCAAATGTTCTCACTGAGGCTTTGTCCAGGACCTTCTGCACCTCAGAACTGTTCAGTGTGTAAACTTACCCACAGTTTTGTGTATGAAGCCCAGGTGTTGAGAGGGTTAACACTGCACAGAAAACTTCCACACCTCACAGGCTCGCCAAGGAGGAGCGGAGGAGGTTCTCTGTACCAGGCCGGGGTTTCATTACAGTTTCATTTACGATGAAGATGCCAACGAAAACGTCGGCACGGTGAGGTTGAGGAGCTTCTGTCTTTAGGAGCAGCTCCAGAGAGTCGTGTCCTGCCTCTAGCACGTTCTACCCAGATGCTCGTCTTCTACCAGACAGTCTCATTATACAACATGTTACCAAGCACGTCACTGTAAAACACATACGCTGTGCAGTTTGCTAATGCACAAACCTAACACTAGGACTCCCGGCTTTTCTGCTTTTCCCGTTTTCCTTCTCGTTGCTTTTTCCTATCTGTTGATCTGCAGTCACACATGCTACAGACACACACATACGTATCCTGTGCAGCGTCCACAGGTGCGAGCGACGAGGATTAGCCTCGCTCTGGTCACGGATTAGCCAGTTAATCCTCACTCTGCCCACATTCCTACACAAAAATCAGTCAGTAAGGAGCTGACACTCTGAGCACACACACACACACACACACACACCTGCCACATGGCCTCGGTCCTTTACTCCAGCAGTACTGCCTTGTAACTACTGCATTAAAGGTCAGATCCTTCAGGTGCCATGTGGCCACATCTGAATTTATAACAACAAAAGTTGATTTAATGAAATCACTGTTTGCTGTGTTAGTGTGTGAGGATCTTTTGTGTGGAGGTGAAGGAGCGATCTGCTCCGGGAGTCACTGAAGTTAGGTCAGGGTTAGGTTACTTTATTTATACCTGTAGGTAAATTTGTTTTGCAGTCAGATCAGATCAGATGACATCCTTAATACGCTCACTAAAAACCACAAACATAACACCAACACATAGACTGAACGTAATAGAAATACTCAGAACTCCACCAGGGTTAGTGGCTAGACATGTCCACTTCTATTTCAGTTAGTAGTTAACACGTAAACACTCTGTAGAGGTTAAACTGGCTAATGTGCTCCATAGCCTCAGCCTGAAACTTCTCGGCCCAGACGACACGGCCGAGGTTCTGTGAGCAGGAGAGCTCTCCACGCTCGGACATCTGCAGACTGTGCTCTGTGTTCATGTATCTGCTCTAATTCCCTGGTTTCTTTCGCCTTGCATCACACTCCCCAGCTGCTTCCTGGACTCACAGCCTTGTACACATTCCCCCGACGCTGTTTCATCTCCTGCTCTGTGTGTGTGCAGCTAAAATGAGATTAGACATTGTATTTACCCTGTAGTGAGTGTACACGCTAAACTTTCTTAGAAACGCTGGTGTTTCCCTACCAGAGTGAGGCTCCTTACACTCGGTCCACTGGTCATTTTCCCTGTTTTTACTGGAATGTGCACCAACATTTTATGTCAAAGTGGAAGTTTCGTCTGTACCTGATTGTTTGAATTACTGCCTTTGGGAATGCAAAGTATAAACCATAAACCTGTTGCTTGAGTCACGGTGAGACTGGGTTTATGTTTTCTGGGAGGAGATAACAGACAACTGGCTTCTCCTGTCTTTTAGGTCCCATTGGTCTCCTTGTAGTTTTAAGGTGGAGCTCTTAGGAGCTGCTTCTCTTTCTACTCGGCTTCTTTTTAAAATCATATCACCTGTTAGCGACATGTTTTGGCTGATCTCGCAGGTGTGAGACCAGATGTGCTGTTGTAGTGTCTCTGTGATTCTCGGCTCCTGTTGGCAGCATGTACACTGTGATACTGACCAGAGCTCGGATCGAGGTCTTTGCACTGTGTCTATTTATGGATGGTTATTGTGGATGGACACCAGGGACAGTCTTATCTTTGACATGGTGAATTCAGTGTCTGTGTTCAGATTCGACTCAGTCACCTCCCACAGCACCTCACCTTCGGCTCAGGGATGCTTTGTCTCTCTCTTTTGTCTTTGTCCTGTCAAATGTCTGCTATGGACCATTTCCCATAAACACCATCCAAAATGATTAACTAACCCCTGAGCAACACAGTGATTATCTCCTCCCCACCTCCCTCTGTAATGTTGACCATGTCTGACCCGGGCTGGTGTTTCTCCTGGTTTCTGGCCTGTTATGTTTCCGTCCTGGTTTGGACCAGGACACAGAGACAGGACCAGGACACAGCCATCTGGAGACCTGGAGAAAACGGCGGCTTTTCTTCCGTTTTTACTACTTCTCTTTGTTCCCTCCTATTCCCTTCCATATGTTTGTCCCTCCCTTCTTCAGCTCCCTTGAAAGCATAGCTCCTTCTCTAATGCAGGGTTCTAACTTGTCCTATGTTATTTTAGTCTGCTGTGCTGCAGTAGATGATGTGAGTCAGTAAGCAGCCGGAGAAAGCCGAGACCTTTCAGACAATCTGATTCACAGTGGCGCCCTTTGTTTGTTCCGCTCTCACCATTACATACCATAACGCTAAAGCCCAAACACACAAGGAACATTAAAACGCCTTAATGACATTCCTGTGTGAACGGAGCCTGAAGGCTCAGCCAGCCCAGCAGCACAACTGCAACAGGAGCAGACACACAGTGAGGGAAACAAAGGTCGAGCAGTTTGTGCTGAAAAATGCTGGAACTTTCTGTCTGAACTTGCTGAGGTAGAAAAGGTTTTCAGGAATTAGGAGCCTGGAGCCTTTTACTGCAAACTACAAGCTAAATGTATTTTCTGGGAGTGTAGTCGCACACATTATTCACTTTACTGCATTTAAAATGTGTTCTAAGTGAAATCAGCTGCTTTCAGAGAATGCTGCGTTTGACCTCGAGCTGTTGCAGTGAGTGTGTAGTGGTTGAAAATAAACAAGGTTCCAGAGGTAATACGTAATAGAACGGTATGTAGTTCATATTTAGATATTATTTGTAATAGTTGTGTAAAGGATGTAAGGCTGAGCTAAGTGTGTACAGAAGCTTGATCTGTTTCTGGTGCAGGCAAGAACATCTTGGACTGGGCCCCCCTTGTTTAACCTAGGGTCAAAATCCTGAGTGACTTCCTCCACCGATAGGGAATGGATATACTGTAGCTGCAGCCTTATGTGAACTGTTCATGTGCTCTGTTCAGGTTTAGAAAAAGGAAATGTGCACTAGGTCAATGCGACCTAGAAGTTCATGTACTGGACAGCTTAGACAATGCTCGGAAGAAGGTGTGTGTGGGTAGCTGGCATGGGACCGCGTCTTCATGGCTCAGGCCATGGAGGGCTGTGTAAGTGCGAGCAGATAAAAAGCTGGGTTAGAGCAGAAGGAGAAGAGAGGATGGCAATGCTACTGTGACAGGGAGAGTATACTTTGTGGGGGGACGCTGACCCAGCCGGCTGGGGGGACGCTGAATTAAGACTGACTGCTGACTAAGACTGACGGTACCTCGTGACAACAACTGACTGACTGGACCTTGTAACCAGGACTGACTGAGGCTTTTGACAATCTTTTTATTTAATACTTTATCTATCACATTGCAGGAGGAGAGTCTCTGTTCTCTGTTTCCCTAACTACAAGATTATCTGTTTAAATACTACTCTATTCAGAATAATTGTAATATTAAATGATCCTTTAAATTGGGATGGTTTGTCTGAATTAATTTAGTCGGCATCACACTCTAGCCACGACAAGTGACTGGAGGCTGGGTTTTGTCATGTTTAAGGTGTTTTGGAAGTTCAAGCTGTAAGTGGTTGACTGGGCATGGCGGCCTAAAGGTTAGAGACACAAGCTTATGTCGGCTTGGTGTCTGGACCAGCAGGGTTCAGTCTGGGTAGGACGGGGAAACTGAACCCCAGCTGCTCCAGTGTAGCTGCTCAGAGGCAGTAGGTCAGACTGTGGTTGTACTGGCCAGCTCCCAGGTCCATCCATCCATTATCTACACCGCTTATCCTGAAGAGGGTCGCCGGGGGCTGGAGCCAGTCCGACAGAGAGCCAGGGTCCACTCTGGACAGGTCGGCAGTCTCTCACAGGGACAGCTTCCAGGTGTGTCTTCTGAGCACACTACCCAACTGCCCAGTGACTTTAATGTAACCCTTGGTTTCCTCTGATCTCTACAACAGAGGCAGTGGGATCAACATAGGCACTAGAGTCACCGTACCCACATGGCCCGAGAAAACCTCCAGGGATCAAATCGGCTCCATCTGAACATAACTTGAGTGCTTACTCTGACCATCTTCAGGCTGTGGGAGAGGTCATAGCAGCTCTGACCTCTGTTTCACTGTGACCTAAAAGCTGCTGAAGTGTCTTTGAGTAAGACACTAATACGTGGACATGTCTAATGCCGGTGTCCCGCAGCTCCGCCCTCCTGTCCATGACACGGGACACAGGAAGTTTTCCATGTGGTCAAATGCAGCGCTATACAGAATCCCCACAGGCCTGCGGTGTGAATCAACACCTCCTAAGTGCTTTTGTTTTGCTGAGCAGGCAAAGAGCTCCTAGAACAATCGTTAGATTTTTACAGCCTGTGGGATGGTCGAGGTGTGGGCTGAATGGCTTGTATTCACTGCTGCACGTGCACGACATGTATCTGCATGCACTCGCACACAGCGTGGGCAGAGCAGTCGACCTCGGGGTCAGGTCACTGGAAGTGTAGGCTGATCTCACAGCTGGTGAGTCCACAGCCGCAGGCCACAGCACACACCCCGTGTCCCCAGACACACACAGCGTTTTGGCAGCGGTTAGCCTCCGTGTCAACTCGATGAGCAGGAGGCCATGGTTGTTACAGCCACTGACCTAATGAAGCGGTGAACAGTGTGGCTGGTTAGTGGGTGACCGCATGTCGGCTCCC